ATTTACTGAGTGCGTGCTGCGTGTACATAAACAGGAGTAGGCCTCCTACACCTGCCTGTCATCTGTCCTTCTTCCCTACACGTGCTCTCCCGTACACCTGCCCCAGGTGTGCAAACAGTGCAGGACCGGGCGCGCGTCAGGCCCTACCCACTGCACTCCCCTTCCCCCCAGGACTGAGTCCAGCCCTGACTTCCCGGTGCTGCTGGTGGAGAAGTTGCTTCTGGAACATCTGGAGGAGCAGGAGGTCGCACCCCCAGGTGACCCCCCTCCCCATATTCTCTCTTATCGTCCGGAGCCTTGAATGCCGACTTGGGGCCCTGCCGGTATCCACAGGCTCTGTTGCAGTAGGAGCCAGCCACAGTATGCAGTCGGTACTCAATATGCATTTGTTTTCCTGTCTCCCAGCGCTGCCACCTAAACCCCCCAAGGCAAAGCCTGCCTCTGCAGGCCTGGCTAATGGGGGGAGCCCGCCCTCCCTGCAGGACGCTGAGTGGTACTGGGGTGACATCTCCAGGTAGGGTTGTGGGATGGGGCCACGTGGCGGGCAGGGCCGGAAGGGTAGGGTCTCGGGGTGGGCACCCCAATCCTGAGTGTCTCCACAGAGAGGAGGTGAATGAGAAGCTCCGGGACACGCCTGATGGCACCTTTCTGGTCCGAGATGCGTCTAGCAAGATCCAGGGGGAGTACACACTGACCCTCAGGTGGGGGCCTGTCCCTTCAGGGGGTGACTGGGTGTGAAAACTGGGAGGGAGGCCACACCAGGTCGGAAGGACCGGGGGTGGCATGGGGAGTGGGACATGTGCATTGTCAGCCAGGATGGCTGGGGGTCCCCCTGGCTGCTGACGCCCCCCACCCGCCCCCCAGGAAAGGCGGGAACAACAAGCTGATTAAGGTCTTCCACCGCGACGGGCACTATGGCTTCTCAGAGCCACTCACCTTCTGCTCCGTTGTGGACCTCATCACCCACTACCGCCATGAGTCGCTGGCCCAGTACAATGCCAAGCTGGACACCCGGCTCCTCTACCCCGTGTCCAAGTACCAGCAGGTCTGTGGCCCGGGGGGCGGCAGCCAGGGAGGGCGGCACCAGCCTTGGGCCTAAGTGTCCCGGGCAGCTTCTCTGATCACACCGGGTGTCCCCAGGACCAGATCGTCAAGGAGGACAGTGTGGAGGCGGTGGGTGCCCAGCTCAAAGTCTACCACCAGCAGTACCAGGATAAGAGCCGCGAATATGACCAGCTCTATGAGGAGTACACCCGCACCTCCCAGGTACCACAGGCGCGGGGGCGGGGGGGGGCGGGCAGTGGCGAGGCCTTGGGGACAGACGTCTGCTTCCAGGTCACGGAGCAGCCACATAGCGCCTGGGCTGCCCTAAAAACAGAAATCAGTGTTTTTTTTTTTTAAAAAGAAAGAACTGATGAGAAAGCACCAGCCAGCCCCCTGGGAGCAGCTGAGTCGGGACCTAGGAGGTGTCTCCTTGAGCCTCGGTGGCTCCCTGGGCCTCACTTTCCCCATGTGGAACTGTAAACTGGGGCCATGGTCTATTTCCCCCTGCCCTTGAACCTGGATGTTACTTGAAGTGCTAGCTAATACCCTGACAAGAGCTGATAGAGACAAAGACGACATCACGGGAAAGGGCAGCGTCTTTTAAAACAGGGAAGGGGGAGGACGGCTTTATCACACGAGGACTCTGTTAATAAATTACTTTCGTAAGTCGGGATGTAGCTTATTCAGACCAAACATCCCATCTCAGGCAGAGAATATCTCCATCCCCCCTGTTATCCCCAAGAAATTTCTTTCTTGTCTCCATTTTGCCTGATGGATCAACGGAGGCTCTGAGTGGACAAGATGCCTGTCTGGGATTGGTTATGAACATCAGAATCTTGGAAGTGACGTAGGGTCCCCGAGTCTCGGTTTCCCCATTAATAGTTCTGACTTTGTAGGAGGCTACTGGCAGGTTCTACAAGATGATGTATAGAAAGTACTCCGCGAAGCATCTACCCTGAGAGGGAGCCCCACGAACTGTATGTCGGAACTAGATTTGTCTTTAATTCCCAGCAGTGCTAACAGATCCAAGTGTTGGTAAGGTACCCAAAAGAGGATCTAAAGGAAGACTGGGTTTGGGGAATGGGGTTCTGAAGGCTGAATAGGAGTTTGTTCAGTACAGTAGGAGCTAGAGAAATGATGCACCTGATAGGGGGAACAGCTTGAGCAAAGTCTCCATATCAGAGTTGGGATCTGCCTTCACCCCTCGTGAGGGACTTGTAAGGAGTCTTGGCAGAAACTAAGATTCACCCCCTTCCTGCAGGAACTGCAGATGAAGCGCACAGCAATTGAGGCCTTCAATGAGACCATTAAGATCTTTGAAGAGCAGGGCCAGACGCAAGAGAAGTGTAGCAAGGAATATCTGGAGCGCTTCCGACGCGAGGGCAATGAGAAAGAGATGCAGAGGTGAGTCAGCTCCTCTGCCCTGCCCTGCCCCACCCTGCCCCACCCTGATCTGATGCAGTGCAAGTGGGGAAAGAAAGGAAACATGGGGCATCCTGAGTTCGGGGAGGGGGGGAGGGGGTCATTTGAAATGGGCTTTGATGGATGAATAAGAGTTCCCTAAAAAGAAATCAGAGAAATCACCATGTGCAAAGGCTTAGAGGCTGGGAGCCCTCTGAGGCCTCAGAGCCGCTCCTCCCACAGGATCCTGCTGAACTCCGAGCGGCTCAAGTCTCGCATCGCCGAGATCCACGAGAGCCGCACAAAGCTGGAGCACGAGCTGCGGGCACAGGCCTCAGACAACCGAGAGATCGACAAGCGCATGAATAGCCTCAAGCCAGACCTCATGCAGCTGCGCAAGATCCGAGACCAGTACCTCGTGTGAGTGCCTGGCCCCGGGCTCACCTGCGGGCTCCTCGGTTCAGGGCCATCTGGTGAGGTGATCTCTGCCGGTGTCACACTCGTGTTTTCTCCAAGTGGCCCCACCTTGCCCCTGAGACCCCTCACCTGTCCCCGAGCCCCCTCCCTCTCATACAGGCCCCTCCTGGCCCCCTCGGCAGGGCTCCCTATGGGTTGGCCCCTGCCTCCTAGTTGTCCGTGAAATGGGAGCACTGCTCCCATGGGGCTGGGTCATCGGGAGCCTCCACCAGGATCCACTCCGTGAATGCCAGCTGTATGACCCCGCGCATGCTAGGGCCGCAGCAGCCCCAGCCTGGGCTCAAATGCCGCCTCTGCCCGCTGAGCCACTGCCGTAGACGCTTACGTGGCCCTGCCGTGCACCAGGCACGGTGCTGGGTGCCCTGTGCACATGAGCTCACTCTGTCTTCTCAAAGTTCTTTGTAAAGTTGCCCCTTAACCGCTGAGGGAAACTGAGGTACAGGACAAACAGCTGCCCTGTGTGAAGGCACACTGCCGTGCAGCCCTCAGTCCTAAACCTCTGGTAGTGATAAAGACCTTGCTGGAATGGCGCATTCTGGGGGTTCAA